ATATGGATAAATTCTCCTTGCTGGTAAGAAATTAAAATCATTATCACTATGAAATGCCTGGTTCACTGTATATATAACTTTCTTTTTTATTTCTATTTTTAGAAAGCCGATCTAAAACGATTGTCAACATCAAGTTCAAGGAAATTTGTTACAAAATCGGGGCAAAAACTTATGCATAACAAAGTTGCAGAAAGCTTTTCGTGGAAAGGTACTGTAGACAACAAGTGTATTAGAGCCTTCTCTGTCGCCACTGCCATTCGTCGTAAGTAATAACGGTTTCATTCAGTACATACATATATAATAAACTTTTTACATTCATATTTAAATTCTATTTCGGAAACTTTCACTTGCGAAAATGGAGGCAAGGAAGAGGATTTTGTGTTTGCCTCGAAATCTTTTTTCCAATACGCTAAAAATCTTATTAAAATTAAAGCACCAAAAGAAAATACAAAATAAAGTAAGTTGGTTTTTTGTTTATATAAAATAAAGTTTATAATAATGGAAGTTTTTTGAATGAAAATACAATATGAACTTGGTTTATTTATTCTGTAAATTTAAGTTTATAAGATCTCAAGTTTTTGAAAAATATTATTAGTAAAGCTAAGAACTGAAAAAACACGAATTAAATTTAATTTAGTTTTAATTTTTGTTTAATACTAAAATATTACTAATAAAAAAACCTATACAACATTCACAAAATAAATGTTTCAAACGCTTATTTATTTCATTGAAATTGCGTGTTTTGTAACCGTATTTACAAAGCTTTGGGAAAGCGTATAAAAACTAATTATAACACGTTTACTTAACACATTTGCAAAACGCGTTATTACGTGTCTTAAAAAATATGTTTTGCAATCGTCATTTTAAAGCTTATAACAATGGGCGCGTAACCAGGCATTTCATAGTGATAATGATTTTAGTTTCTTACCAGCAAGGAGAATTTATCTATATCTTCCTGAACAGCTTTCTCAAACTGAAGAAAATCTTCAACGGTGTTAAACAGTCTGGTTGGTAAAATGGTAGAGTTATTATGAGATACCGCTTTCCGCAATTCGCCAACATCTTTACGCAGCCCTTGAATTTCCTCCGTAACTCTGAGCAATATGAGCTTGTTACGTTCTTCCACCTTTTCAATGGCTTTTTGACACGCGTCATTGATAAATGATTGAATAGCTATCGTAAAGAAAAAACTAATTAAAAATAAATACTAAATTACAGTGCTCGCGATTTCTTTTTTAAAGTTTTATGTTAAAAATAGCAAACAACATGTGTAAATAAATAACTTACCAGACGAAGTTGCACTGTCCAAAGAAGTTGTTGTACTTGGGCTTGGTTGTATCAGATACAGCGTTTGTGAAGATGAGG